TAGGATAGGTTTGGCATTGCTCGAGAGAGATTACTAAATTATAATAGGAATATAAATTAATCTTTTGTGGAATTGCGTGTCAAATTTGTATGATTGAAAATTGAACGGGTATTGCTTGGGGATTCGTGATTCTAGTGTGTTAGTATATTCATGAATTCCATAAACTCGAGTTAAATTGCATTCAAGTTATTTTGCATTTAGTATAATTTTTCATTCATACTTGCATCAAAGTTTACATCTTTCTAGTTAAAGTACAAAATATCAATTTGATTTCCGTGTTTCGGTTAAGGTCATAATAAGTTAATTTGAACTAATTCAATCCTTGTGGGATCGAGCCTATCTCCCATAGGACGACATTCACGAATCAGAGGGCGGGGTTCATCTATCACTTAGTTCGGGGCAACAAGATTGACTTGGCCACTTACATTTATAATTAGATGCACTCTCTTTTTACTATTTAGTTGCCTATTAGCATTGTCAATTATGATTAAAAACAATTTTTTTACAGAAATATGCTGTTTGTTGTGAAAATTGTAATATCACATTCTTTACAAATATTTTATTTTGGGTGAACATGCGTTCTAAGTCAATTTCGCCTAGAGTAACAGTTGTTTTTGGCTTAGTGGCACACACAATTTTTGGTGTACAGGACTATAAGCAAAAACCGACAAATCGAATCGAAATCATATTTTAGAAACCGTCAGTTTGGCGCCATGTGAACCCGTCAATGAAATGATTTTGAACCAAACCAAACCGGTTAAAAACGGTTTAGTTTAGATTTGAGAATTTTAATTGTGGTTTAAAACCAAATCGGATCAGCGAAAAAATATATAAAAATAAAAAAATGAAATTTTTTGAAAATTCATCCAAATATGTAAAATTCAACTGTTTTGTGACTTTTGTCATTTGTAAGTATTTTTGTCAATTTTTAATTTTCTATTACATATATATTATTATTACCCAATAATTATAATTTGTTATTATTATTATTATTTTTGTCAAATTTTAATTTGTCTTGGGCCCAGGGTCTCAAAAGTTTGTGTAATTGTTATGTTTAGATACTATAAACAATTGTTTTATTATTGTGGTTGGTTATTCTTTTTGTCTAATCAGTAACTTTTTTCTTGCAGGTATGATGATCACAACTTCTTGGACATCATTAATATTTTTGGCCTTATATTTAGTTTAGTAGACTTTTATTGTAACATCATTAATCTAAAAATGGCGAACAAAAAACTAGATTTAGTTTATTGTGATTTCACTTTAATTTAGTTGGTATTTAAATTTATAGTAGATATATTTATTTTAGATTTACTGCTAGTAAGATATAAATATATATTGATTTCAATGAATAACAATGACAAAAAATAAAAATAAAATAAAATAGGTCAACTCAATTCTGCCATTGACAATATATCATCCCGGTTGAGAGATGGCAATAACATACCAGAGGAGCCAGTTAAGACAGATGTTGAAGAAGCTGCCTTATAATACCTTCCGTTTCTTTCTCATTGGTTGTAATCCAGTTTTACAAGTTGGCTCGGTAATATCATGTTATACATGTAAACGGAATGCTTGAAAGTTTGAAACATGTAGTCTATCCAGTTCTTGTTGAAGTGTTTGGAGAATGGAAATTATCAGTAAAGTGTTAAATAAATTTGGCGGAGTTTCCTTGAAGAAGTTTGGACGGAACCCAAGTCGAGCACACATCGAAACAGGTTTTAATTGGATCTGTTGACTAATTTTGATGTATAGGCCATTTTTCTATGTTCTGGTAATTCTTATTAATGTACTTACGTACCTACATCTTCTACAATTTAAGACAATTCAAGAATGCTAAAAAGTCATTGCATTTAATGTTCATTTTCTTCAGATCTGTTTCTGATTTCTAGTTAACAACCAGGAAAAGGGTGGATATTGCAATAATAATGTCCCAATGACTAGAGAGAGACTCGACAATGATAGCATTGTTCTTTCTATTCTCTTGTAGGAAATTAGAACTAAGTACCTTCACCCCTCCCTGGGTTCAACAACTCTTTAACACCCGGTTTTATTTAGTAGTTGCAATTTCTCTTTGCAACTTCTTAATATTTAGTTTCTGATTCTGCTAGACTTGCAAAAGCAAAACATTAGGTAGTGGTTGGTTTGCATTTTCATTTTCAAAACGATTTTTAGTTTTCCACGAAAATGGCTCGTTTTCCGCGTTTTGAGCGTTTTCGACATTTATAACTGAAAATGCTGAAAACGATAAAAAGTCGTTTTGCGTTTTCAGTTATAAATTTTAACTCGTTTTCAAAAATGCGTTTTCGAAAACGACGGACCAAACGCCTTTTCCGCGTTTTCGAAAACGGAAAAGGGAAAATGAGCCGAAAATGGCAAATCAACCACGGCTTTAGTGGTTCTACTGTTTAAAAAGGATTTATGGTGTTTTTATTTCCACGACCATAAAATTAATGTCTCTGGGATTTTATGCACAAGTATTTATTAAAAGCTCATCTAAATCATACTTCCAGTTGCAAAAACAAAATGTACATTACCCTGTGCCTCTAATGTTATAATTTATAAATCACCTTTAATGATTATTTTGTATCAATTGATTGTCTATTTGAAAAACTAGAGACTTTGATTTAGTGATAGTTATAAAGTTGTGTCATCTTAATTAGCATATAAATATTGGTTTTTACTATCCTCTTTCTCTTTTGTTTCTTTACCATAAGTCCTATTAGCAGTCTGAATAAAATTGGATCCTCCACCGTATCTATTCAGTTGTCTTTTCTTAACTTTATAATTGCTAACCGGAAACCATTTTATTGATTAAGGATCATTAAGATATAATTACAGAGAGCTTGCACTGGTTAGCATTATATATTCTCTAAAGCAGCTTTTCTATGCCTTTTTGAATTGATACTTTGATAAAGGTTGAACCTCAACTTTGGGGGCCCCATCACCCTACCCCTAGAGCTTTGTGAGGAAAGTAAATCGCGGGATGTGCCCCAACAAGTCAGAGAACAAGAGCTGTCTGTACACTGCGCCTACAAAGAGTTCAATTCTATATTTCAAGAATCGAACCCCCTCACTGCGGCTGTCAGCAAGGCGTGAGATAACCACTCCTGTCTTTTGCACCATTGGGCTATGCCCCGGGGGGCGAATTGATACTTTGATACCCTACCCAACCCTTGGACAGAGACCAATTTGTCGGCATTTATATCATTTATATTCTGTCTGCGTGCAGAAGTGGCATCCAGACAAACATGGGCGTGATACTGCTGTTACTGCAAAATTTCAAGAGATTAACAAAGCATACAACGGTTATTGTACAAGTCAATCCCCTATACCTCTGATATCTGATTCTGGTCTATGAACACATTTTGGCAAGTTACTGTATAGTGCTTGTGTGATGTGGATTTTGATTTTTTCTCTTTGTTTTTTTTTTTTTTTGAGCTAAACAATTTTGATGACATAGCACTATCATGAGTCAGTTTGAATATGGCATTTTATGTTGCATATGAATTTGGTTTCGATGTACTTTATATACATTATTTCTTCGAATTATGTTAAACACATCACTCTACATGAATGCATGACAAAATCAAACTAGAAATAGGGCCTGACATTTTTGGAACATGTACAACTGCTATCTTGTACCTTTTTCTTTCCTCTTTGAAATAGTAAAATAAAAAAGGAAAATGCAAGTAAGAGGGATTGCCATATTCTTTAACCTTAAGGTGGGAACTGACATTTAAGCTCTATTAAGACTGCATTGAGTTTTCATTTTGTCTAGTACTCAGGTGGCAGAATTCCTCTATATTTTTGTATGCAAATTCAAGGCTGAAATGCCCGTGCTAGTAGAGATTAAAAGCCTGTAGTACGGACACTCCAATTAGGGTAGTGTGTCCGTGCCCATGTCCAACACATGTCGATACCGACGCTCTACAATAATCATTTTTTTTCTTACTATAGCTATTAAGTTATTAGTAAATAACAAATAAGTACTCATATTTAAAAGATTTCGACAAGAAAAATCAATAATAAGTATAAAACTAAATTTAAATTATATAAATGAAGAATTTAAGGAATTTAATGAACGTGTCGTGTCGGTACTTTTTTGAAAAATCACGAGTCGACGTATCTGACACGTATCGTGTCGGACACACGTGTTCGTGTCGGTGCATCATAGAAAGTCACCCTTTTGTGGGCATTGGCATCATGAATGTTCAATACTCGGAGCTCTGAGGTCTCCATTTTTAGAATATGCAGTATAACTTTTCTTCCACCTAACCATTACAATATTAAGTGATCCAGACAAAAGACTGGACTGTGATTTGAATGGAAACTATGAGATTGACAAGTATACTTTGCGGGTAAGGATTTTTCGTAATGTCAAATTTCAGCTGTTTTTCATGCATCTTTAATGATTGCTTAATGATAATGTGAATTGCCAACACTCGAATATTTATCGAGATTTAAGGGGATGATACTTACCTGTGATGGGCTTGGTATTAGTCACACGCCAATTTCGTAAGTCAGGTACCTAAAGCTAGAATGGTTTGGTTACACATATTTGACATCAGACTCCCTTGTATAATTGTATTTTATCATTTTTTGCAATATCCTAAGGCTTTTGTTGCATAGTTCTTCACATCAAAGATATCTGCATTTTGTTACCATACTAAAGCAAGTGATTCTTAACAACAACAAGAAGCAGCAGCTATAAGCCCTTTCCCAATATAAGCCTTATTTCCAAGGAAGGCAACTGATTCTGAACAAGAGAGGAAATCCAACTCTTGTGGATGAATTTGTTTGTTGAGGAATTTCTTTCCCCAAGATTTTTGGGTCTTATAATATTTTGCTGGCCACAAGAAACTTGGAGGCCAGAAATCAGGAAAAAAGAAAAAGAAGTTGACACACACAAGCAAACATTCTATGATTTGGGTGTCTAGACATAATAGAGCATTGAATAAGGCCTGCGGTGTGCTACCCATTTTTACAAGAAATGTGCATTAGGTAGGAGCTGGGAGAAGGGGTGCTATTCTCTCGGTGGAATCTGTAGGATCTGCACGCCTTGAGAGTTTGAATTCATGGTATTTAGATAATAATGTAAGAATAAGTACGCCAACATGGAATTAATTATTTTTCTTTATTGTAAAAGATTCCATTGTGAAATACTAAAACACTACAACAATACGCCAGTCTTCAACTTGTCAATGAGACTGTCGAAGATTACAATTGACGTTTATATCATCATTATAATTGTAGTATATATAGATAGATTGTTTTTACCATATTTAAATTATAGGTTACCATTAGTTAATATTATAATTGATAGTTACCATATTTAGTTTTGATTTGATTCTATTTGACATGGTATTAGAACCGTATCGATCCTAAACAAATTAACCCTTGAATTTCGTTTCCAAGGTTGCTCGCCCGGCCAAATTGATGGAGTTGGTATCAACCAAAACTCGGTAAGGTAGCCGTAATGAATTGTTGTGCTTAAAGTAAAGTGCAGAAGAAACTTGAAGGCCTTCTTTGCTTTCTCTATATTTCAACAAATTTCTGAAGAATAGGCAGGTACATTGAAGTGGATGGCAAAAGTTGCAGAATCTTATATTCACGAGTTGAGATGGAGACCGTTGACTATATGTTGTTTGGATGGAACAGTGAAATAAAAACCAAAAAAGAAATATCATTAATTGCGGCTCCGACAGTGGAGGGTGTGGCTATAACAACTCTTCGGGTGGTGTTTCACCCAGAGCCGGTCCTGTGATTTATGGGCCCTGAGGCGAAGCGTGTAAAGTAGGCCCCTCAGCGAAAGCAATTTAAATACAAAATTCAATGACGTATTATGCGACTCATTGCTAACTTAAAAAACTAACATTAAAACAACAACTAAATATATTATAGAAACGATTTATATTATAAACCATCAAAACCAACAATGTTTCAAACAATTAGTTGAATACTATTCGTCTTGCCGTTTTGGAGGCAAAAATATCAATCAAATCTGAATAATTTAGCTGCCCAACCATTTCTTTTTCTATTGATAACATGCCCAACCAGTTTAATCTTTCTTGTGACATAGTTGATTGAAGATAGGTCTTGATCAACTTCAATTTTGAGAAACTTCTTTCCGCAGATGCAACTGTAACCGGTATGGTTAACAAAATTTTGTAAGCAATATAAGCATTTGGGTAACAAATAATGTGAGTCATCAAATATTGCAGCACTTCAATTGCTCTTGTTGCTTCATTTGATAAATAAATCTTCAAGACTTGTAACTCCGAACATAAATCATCTCCACTGATATCCGAACGCCCATCATGTTCAAGATATTTCTCAAGATTCATATAAGAGTTCAACAAACTTGATAAAATTGCATCCCTTAATCTTTTCAAATTAAACAAAAATCCAAATATGTCATCATATTGTTTGAATTGTTCAAATCGACCCCTCAGAGAAGATAGAGCTTGATCAATTATAAAAATAAAGTACTCAACTCTAAAAGATTCTTCTGCTGATTGCTTTACCTCATCACTACCGCTTTCATCAAATTGTTTTTTCCTTCGAATTATGCGTTTTTCTGTAAATACAATTTCAATTCCCATTTCGTTTGCCTTTTTTGTTGCTTCATCCATAGTAACGGCAAATCTGATTTCTCTATAATCTTCAAAAAATAAAACAAGTCCTTGCAATAGATCGAAAGCATGATCAATATCCATGGATTCGGTTTGAAGAAATTTACTCACAATATTGACTGCATGCAACAACCTGTACCAGATTACAATGCCAAGCAAGAACTCAAAATTCTGAAGTTCATGTGTTGCTAACGACTCGACTTCACTTTTCACTTTAGGATCTTCGTTAGATTCTGCCAAATCAAGTAAGGCTTCTCTTATCTGTGCGGTTTGCTCCATTATAGGCTTCACACTCTCAACATGACTTTCCCAACGTGTTTGTGACAATGGCTTAACTGTCAACCCTTTTACATTATCTTTAAAAATTTTCCATCGCTTGGTAGAAGAGGAAAATAAAGTGTAGATGCGTTGTATCACTCCGAAGAAGGATACAGCTTTGGAACAACAATTCACCATATCACATAATGCTAGATTTAGACTATGAGCACTATATGGAGTATAAAAAGCTCGGGGATTCATTTCATGTACTCTTTTTTGTACACCTTTGTGCTTCCCACTCATGTTAGATCCATTATCATACCCTTGCCCTCTAATGTCATCAATATCCAGATCAAGTTTGATCAAAGCCTTTTGAAGCTCGGTTGCAAGTCCAAGTCCTGTTGTGTCATCTACCTTCAAAAATTCAAGCCAATGTTCCTCAACTGTAGGTAAGTTTGTTGAATCATCTACAAATCGTACTATCAAAGACATCTGCTCCTCACGACTTGCATCTGAAGTACAATCAAGTATAATCGCGAAATATTTTGCATGTTTAACTTTCTTGACAATTGCATTTCTCACCTCATTAGCCAACAACTGTATCAACTCATTTTGGATTTTTTTGCCAAGATACGTGTATTGAATCTCTCTTGCATTAGCCCGCCGAAGGTGCTCTTTCATTACTGGATCAAACTCATTAATCATTTCCACCATTTGTAAAAATAGGCCATTATTCTCAACATTTAGCCTCTCATTATCTCCTCGAAATGGCAAGGTATTTTTGGCGAGTCTTTTAACAATAGCGATTATCCTTGTTAATACATGCCTCCAATGTTCTCTTTCTGCATCGATCAACAATTCAACACTTTTATCAATTGTAGTTTTTGTTCGAAACCTATTTTTCAATTCAATCCAGCCAGTCACGCAACATAAATGGTCTTCATTTCCTTCATGACTTTTAATAGACCGATGCAAATTATGCCAATCTTTGAATCCATCGTTACCAAGTTGGCCAACT